TGAATTGATTAGAATGGTCATGATTCTTTCTATGATTCTTTTCTAACTTTAGCTAGAGAAAAGAGAATGTTTTCACGTGATAACCATTTGTACGATTACTTTATATGCACATGTATTTACATTTAATTCTCACACTAAACTGTTCAGTCCATCTGAAAATTTTGAATGAGGGGTGCTTGTAAAAAAATGTCATCTAATGTGGTGAAACCTAATATGTAATCGGTATTAGGGCCCGGGTCATTTTTTTTTCCAGTTTTTTTTCTTTTCCTAGGGTAGGGCTGGGTGTTTTGGGGGGGTTTGGGGGTGGGGGTGAGGGGGGTCGGGGATAACAAGAAAGCAAAAAAAAATAGATATTGAACCGGGCCCGGCCCGGCCCGGTTAGGCCCGGACCCGGTATCAACCCGCGCCGGTTCCGGGCCCAAGGATTTGCAAAAAAACCCGGGTCGGTTCCGGCCCGGAACCGGAACCGGACCGCCCCGGGTCCATCCCTAATCGGTGTTCTTGGTTTCTTTGTTAAAAAACAATAAGATTGGTGGGTTTTTTGTTTTTTGAGATTTCTAAATTTAGTAAACAATCCATTGTTCTAAAACATTTTAAATTTACTAATTCAACCCACCTAATAGAAACATTTGTCTTGGAACCATGTACTATATTCATTACCGTTCTCGGTTCTCCATACTAATCGACATTTGTCAAATCTTTACAATCATAAGCTCTTATTTTCTGGGGTGTTTGGAAGTGCTTTTGCTTCTTTTTTAAAGCAGAAGAAGAATCAGAATCAATTTTCAGAAGCTGTTCACCCTCAACTTCTAAAAAAACTGATTCTATGAATATATTAGAGTATCAGAATCACTTCTGCACTTTCACTCAAACACTCCAACTTCTGCTTTTGTTCGCTCCATAGTTTTAAGAATCAGATCCAAACACCTCCTAAGACTCCATACCTTTACTTTAATTGGATTTTAGAGTACGATTTAGGTTTGGAATGTTATAATAAATTCATTCATTTTTCATTTATTTAGTTTAGTTCGATTTTGGTTGGAATGTTATAACAAATTCATTCTTTTTTCATTTATTTAGTTTTGTTGAGAATCCCAAGAGACATTCAATGAAAGTGCTTTTTTATGTTAACATTTTTTAGTGAAATGAGTTTGCTACATGTAACCTCTCTTTGAAAGTGTCATTGTATTATAGTCTTTTTGTTAGATTATATAATACATATCCCTTCATGTTTAATATTTCTTTTTGTGTCAACAAGTGCCTTTTGTGTAAAAAAAAATAGAAATTGCTCTAAATAGGAGCAAAAATGTTTTGAAATTCCAAAATAGAAGTATCATGTTTTTTATTCTCTGAATTGGAGTAATCAGCCAAATTTGGAAAAAAATGTAATGTTTAAAGCTTAGTAATCCCAAACTTGGCAGATGTTTACTCCTATTCAAGGAATAAAAAACATGATAGTCATATTTTGGAATTTCATAACTTTTTTACTCCTATTTAGGAAATTCAAAAAAATAAAAAAAGGCCCTTCAATAACATTTTTTTCGGCATATATTCTACTCCGTATAAAAATTAGGGAGACTTATTTGAGTCTGTTAGTTGAAAACTTAACGGTTAATAATTACCATCGGTACTATAATTATAGTTAGGAGAATTTAATTTCGCGTCCATCATGTTTTGGGTGATATTAGGCTTTACATCTCATTTTCAAAATTATTAATGTGAGCACTCCATCTGCCAAGTATTGTATAGGAATGAAGTGCAAAGTCAAATGATTTTATACTGAAATAGAATGAACATATTAAAGATTTTGAAAATAGAGTATAAAATCAAATATCGTCCAAAAATGGGGTGCAAAGTCAAATTTCCTCTTATAGATATAAGAAATGAAAATTTCCTGACTTTCCATTGTTATTTAATACTCGGGTACTATTTTTTCTTTAATTTAATGAAATTCATCATATTTCCTCAATCATTTTAGATATTACTTTCTTAATTTCATCAAATTCAACTTTTATTTAAATTTTACTTTTTGATAAAATAATTGACGGTAACCCTACTCGGATACGGTTGATAGTTGATACTAATGTCTTGATTTTTTTACAGAAAACTAGCGATAAAAGTAGATTGCATTTCTAGGTCCAGGAATGGACGCTGCAGTTAAGTTTTTTTAATCATAAAAGAGCGACATTTATATTAAAATCAAGAACACATAAAATAAGTCCTTATATAGGAGTCTCTGTCCGGCCGTCGTCATTCGGGGCAGTTCCCGGTGGAATTTTTTGATGAAACTTTTTAAGCATCTTATTCATCAAGTCTAATTTACTCATATCAAATTTCACCAAAAACTTCAATCGAGAAGGCATTCAAATGAAGTCTTGAAGATAACTGCGCAGTTAAAAGTGCAGTTACCTTCGAGAATTGAATAGACTTAGAGTCGACCACCTCATACAAAAGAACACCATTCACTCAATCTGAAACAGACAAATTTACACCTAAAACAACCGGAACCGAAACCTCGTAGAACTCCAAAAGTACAAACATTCAAACCAAAACAACTCGGAAATTTCTGGTGGTCTATCCTGACCCTGGGCTGAGTGGCCGCCATGGCATCCCAGAATTCCCGAGGATCCAGAAATTCTCAGAGCTCGTGCTTTGGAGCGTAAGACGGAACTCGCTGAACTATCATTGAAATTCTACAACGGCTTTGATAACACCTCTTATGAGCTGGTTGAGGCGCTGGGATGCTTGGTGGTTTTTTCGAAGGGCCGGACTCGTCTCCCAAGCTCTTCTTCGCTGAACTGCAAGAGGATGAAGGCTTCTACAGCTTTGAAGATGAAGAAAATAGACTCACTGCGTGCGTCATCTTGGAAGAAGGCGAGGGAGCAATGTGCTGTAGCAGTTGTTCAGAAGCTGCTGAAGGACTCCCTCACCCTCTGGATGGTTTCTATTATGGCATTTTTAATTGGATTAATTTTTTTTTTGTGATTTGATTTATTTGAATTTGATCTGTTCCAGTCTTCCAGAATTGAAATAAGTCTAAATAAAAACATTCTCGATCTCTGCTGAGTGACTGGCTAGTACACACTGCATCTTAGTTGTAAATAGAAAGTACTCTCTTCATCCTTAAAACTTGGTCAAGTTTAATCGACAAGAGGATTAATAAAATAAAATCTGTATGATTGAGATTTGTACAGTGGAGAAAAAAATGATTGAAATCTAAGGGTCTGATTACTAACAAATATATTTTCCAGTTTTCGATTTCTGTTTTTCGTTCTACAATTTTCTGTTTTCATTTTTCAGTTTTTCTATCTCCAATTTTTTGTTTTTTGTTTTCTATTTTCAAATATGAAAACATGTTCATACAATTTTTTCACTTGGTTCTCTGACCGACCAAAAGACCGAAAGTACGATCCCGGACCGGAACCTAACCTAGTACAACTCACATAGGGTACTGGGTCCCACATATAGGAAAGTTGGGACCGAAATCATCTGATCTCGGTCGATCTCAACAGTTGGTTTGATGAATTCTTTTCCCATTTCCCTATTGGTTGACAACTCAATGGCTCTTTTAAAATTCTTCACTTTAAAATATGATTTCGAAAAATCGAGACTGAAGTGTCGGGTCATTGACTGACCTTGACATGGACTGACGGGTCGTTTACGGGACTGGCCCGGGACCGTCCGGTTATCAATCAGACCAAAAACAGACCGTCGGGTCATTTGCCAGATAGGATGAGGACTGTCGGGTCATTGACTGGACCAGACGGGGACCGTTAAGTCGTTGACTAGAGTGAATCCGACCGGGACTGCCTAGCAATCGATCAGACCGAACAAGTACCGTCTGATCGTGGATCTGACATGACAGGGACCGTCGGGTCATCGACCGGACCGGACAGGACCATCGGGTCGTGGACCAGAACAGACAGGGACTAACGAGTCATGGACCGGACCAAAAAGGGACTGTCAGGTCGTGGACCGGACCGCACAAGGACCACCAGTTCGTCGACCATACTAGGATCGTCGGGTCGTCGACCGGACCGGATCCGTCAGGTCATCGACCGGACCGGATCGAGTTTGCTCGACCGTTGATCGGACCGAACATGAACTGACGGGTCAATGACCGGACCAGACAGCCGGGTTGTTGGCCGGACCAGATAGGGACCGTCGGGTCATTGACCAGATTGGGTTGGAACAGACGCTGGAGCGGGAGTGCAGCATCCGCATTTTCCAAATTTGGAAAACTAGTAAAAGTCACTTCTCCATATCTGTAAGGAAAACAGAGACATATCTCATTTTTTTGGTTTTGGAAAACGATTTGGTAAACGAAATTTTCTATTTTCCTTTCTCCACTTCTCTAGTTTTAAAGAATTTTTTTGGGTAAACACGTTTTCTGTTTTCTGTTTTCTAGATCTCTGAAAAACTGGAAAATATCTGTGTTAGTAAACAAGTCCTTATATTCTTACTTAGAAAGGAAAGTAACAAAGTTAGTAGAATAACCAAAAAAGAAAAGTTGACAAAATTTTAAGAGACGAGAGAAGTACTACCTCCGTCCCAAAAAATGTCATTTCAAAAAATTTGAACCAAGATTTTGATTAGTATAATACTATGAAAGTTAAAAAAATTATACTTTTATGAAAGTACTTTTAACATAGAACATTTTCATATAATTTTTATATTATAAATAATTTCCAATAAAAAGATATAATTGATTAACGTTTTGAAAATAATAAATTTTTTGGGGCGGAGGTAGTATTATTTATAACCCTCTTTAAATTTAAATATAGCGTGGCATTTAAAATAATTTGTTAATAGTTGTGTATGAATTGTGATATGAGGTTATGCTCTCTATTTATTCTTCTTTAATTTACAAGGCTAAAAAAGAAAAAAGAGTAACAGTGTAGTTTCTCATAAGTTTTTGGTCGGAACTATTGACATAATATTATAATAACAATATAATATAACGTGACAGTATGACTGTACACCAAAGATGACATTGGAAATGCAATCCTTGAAATGTTCAAGACTTCAAGATAATAATAAGTTAATAACAATTGATTGATTGGATTTCGGTCTTCCCCAACAGAAGATGAACAACTGTCTCTGTTATTATTTGAATGCAGATTAAAAGAATATAGATGTGAGCTACAAATGGAAGTTGATACCCTATGAGAGCAAGCTGCTATATACATTTAATAAGAAAAACACAAATAATTTATACATGAAGAAAACGCTCTCTCTCCTCACCTAGCCAGCTTACAGGAAGTGCATGGCCACTTCAGATTATTAGTCGTCTCGCCTTCAAAGTAATGGCCACTTCAGATTATTAGTCATCTCACCTTCAAAGTGACGACGAACATCCCCTATATCGTTCATCCTCTATATCACTTACATGTATATGTCGTAGCAACGTAGCATTCATGAGATGTATCAATGGCATCACCATGTGTAGGGCACTGCCCTCCTATTGCATGGGCCTCTTTGCAAAAAAAAAATGATTGCCCCCACACAGCTCCAGCCACGCCCGTTCTTACCAATGGAATTGGAGAATGCAAACATTCCACGTTAACCTTAGTTGAAAAAGTAAGGGGAATCCAGAACTTCTCTCAGGTCAAAATCACCTCGCTCAGGCAAAGGAGGGAATTGTAATTTAGGGAAGGACTGTTGAAAACTTTCCAATAGCTGTTCAATAAAGGAAAAAGGTCAAACAAGTCAGGAAGCGAATATAGAGAGTACTAGAAAGAAGAGCTTCAACTGATAAAATTAACCAAAATAACTTTAGACAATTAACTTAAGGTGTTGACGTTATGACAGTGATGATGAGCAAATTCATGAATGATTATACTCAAACTTGCACCCACACTAGTGGTGTTTGTCGGTTTAATTCTGCAGTTCTTCGGTTTGGTTGGTTCAGATTTGAGAAATGTCAAACCAAAAACAGAAACCAAATTGCTCAAGTCAGTTTCAATACGGTTATTATTGGTCAACTTTTGCATATTTCAGTCCGTTTTTGTCTGTTCGGTCGATTTTAAAATCTTAAACCTTACACCGAACTGTCTGTGTTCTTGTCTGTTTTTGTAGGTTCAGTTTCAGTCAGTTTGTCACCTTATCTGTTATTTCTGCACCCATTACAAACTAGGGGCCTGTCTATTCAAGTATAGAGGACAGCATAAATACATAGTACTATCGTATATGGAAAGAAATCCATGCCCCTACCCCGTAAAGTCTGCTAGTGAACTTACATTTTCCAATATGGGTTTTTCATAAAGCTCCACAAACTTCTCTCTTAGTATTCTATTCATTTGATCAACATCACGTGCATGAGTCCAGTATGAATCATGCACACCTGCAGCCAAAATAGACCACATCTTGAATCTTAAAATAACACATAAAAAGGACTTACGGGCTTTTAAAAAAAGAATGTAATCAGTCAATAAAAAGAAGAAGAAGAAGAAGAAGAAGAAGACCTGCAAAATTTAAGCCTCCTTCTTTGCAAGCAATGGCAGTCATCATCATATGGGAACCATCAAGTGAGTGTACAAAATTTGGAGGGAAGGCTGTCTTCTGCCTCTGGACCATGACCTGTAATGATAAGACGATAGTGAGCCAGGATCAATTAACATATAAAATAGAATTAAAATTGCAACATTGGGCCAGTATTTGAGATGGGCCTTAACGTCCTTTTGGAACACAGGAATTTAACACTGTCCCATTATGTAGTTTGACTATATAGTTTATTAATGTATTAGAAAATTAAATTTTTTAAAAATATTGTTAATTTCCTCTCATTTTGTATTTTCAAAATCTGATTTTTAATTTTTTTTGCTAATAAGGAATTAAATACATCAATAGTCAAATCTGTGTGTTGGCAAAGGTGAAAATGGTACATTGCAACTAAAAAAGAATGGATGAAGTACATAATAGAGGGGAAATATAAGAAGGGGGGAATGGGGAAAGGAACTAACTCAAATCAATTTTGGGTATTTTTTCAAACTCTATTTATATATTTCTGTTAAGCAAAGACCAAGAAATCTAAATAAATGTAAACAATGAAAAGTATGAATTACCTTGTCTGTTTCCCGTTTTAATGTCAAGATCTGAAGAGATGTCCTAATCTGCATTCATTTAGGAAATCCAATAAGATGTTTCTTCCATAAATAGAAAGAGATGGTTTAAAAAAGGGCAATCGGTGCACGAAGGTATCCTCGCAAGGCGAGGGGGTCTAGGGAAGCCTTCCCTGTCAAATTTGACAAGCAGCCACTCCCAAGACTCGAACCTGTGACCTCTCAGTCACACAGCAACACCTTAACCAGTCACGCAGAAAGAGATTGTTTAAAATGTAATTAAATCAGTTGAAATTGTATATTACAAGATGCCTTCCAACTTTTCGGTATGGTTGCACAACAGGTAGTCCAAGTGGAGTTGTCCACTGTACAGGATGATTCTCCCGAGCAATGATCTGTACACCCATAAGTTAATAGCCGTTAGTCTAAGCATATCCAAATAAATATCTAGATGTCAATGCCTATAAGAGAAACACAAATTACATTGTTAGAGAATATGTAGACCAAATATTGTTGTACATCAAATGCCAATGCAACTTGTAGACAAAATTTATATCACTAGAAACTAGAACTCTTCAAACTCAACAGTTTTGTTTTATGTATCTGCATAAACTCATTTTATTTAGATTATATAAAGGAAATCTAGATACTCATTTGACTTGGTAAATAAAACCAAAATCTAGATACTCATTTCCTTTGCATTGTTTGAGATCCCACAATACATTAAAACAAGTGTGATTCATGTGTTAGAACGAATTATACAAATAACATAGTAGCAAAAAATTCCCAAGTATCTGATGAAATTAACATTTAACATGATGGAGCTGGGCAATCATGTACTTTCCAAAACAGAAATAAAAAACTAGAAAGAACAAACCTTGGCACAGTCTCCAAGCCAGCTCATGATGCCTCGTGCAGCTTCAAACATTTCTCCCAAGGCAGTCAATGTAGTCTGAAAGTTTGACCAATGGTTTTAGGCCGTAGTTGAAATACTATGGCCGAAAGTAAACTATAGATAGATATGTGTGCTATGATCGTTTATATTAGCTGCTCTTCCAAAGGTCCCAGGTGAAATTCTATTCAAATAAGTAGTGTAAAAATTAAACTGAAAATCAAATGCCTTACTATTGCCACATAGCAAGAAGCTGAAAACAACTCATTGTTATCTTCGATCACACCACGCTCCTTTAACCTTCTTTTGATTTGTTCACGGGCCCCAACGTAGGTGACTCCATACACCGAAGTCATCACCGTTTGTTTGACTAATTTCCTGTCTACCTGAGATATAACAGATGACAAGAAATAATGTCTGTGAATAAGTGGATATACATAAGGACATCTTCTTTTTTTTCATTTACCCCAGTGCCGCAAAGGCTCCCACCTACGGTGGGGTAAGGGGGGTCGGATGTACGCAGTCTTACCCCTGTACTAAAGCACAGAGAGACTGTTTCCGGATGACCCATAGTGAAAATCCCGAAATCCCGTCCAAAATTGCATGGACTGACTGTTGCTTCATAACAAAGAAGTGCAGACAGTTTAGTGAGCCATTTAGCTTTATTCCATCATAATCTCAAGTCAAAAATATAATGAATCTTTGGCTCCATTGCAAATGATGGAAAAGCAAATATGGAAAGAAACTTTAAAAAGGAGTACATGCTATAAGAATGAGTAATATGACAATGATGACGATTATAATATTTATACCAACCTGGTCTATTAAACGTCTTGCGAGCATCACATTCTGATCAGATGCAGGATCTTTAGCGGCATCACTCTTCATAATATCAAGAACTCTGATTTTAAACGGAAACACATCATTGTAATGGAAGCATACCACTATACCCCAAAAACATTGTTACAAGCAGTTTTGTTATGAAAAAATGTCGGCAAAAGTTCAAGTGATTATTGTATTTATTGAGCTGGATCCTTCGGTCCTTCCTATATTTATTCAATTCAGTTGACCAATAAGCACATTGAAAACAGACTTATGTGGAGACACTAACGTGATGAAAGGGCACAAAGAAGGGGAAGCTGTATATCGGTAGGAAAATTACATTTGTACACAAAATTAGTACACAAATTGTACACATCCCCCCTAATTGTCTGTGCACACAGGCAATTCGGTTGAAAAAGTGCAGAATTTTATGTCAAAATGTTTGTGTACACAGATAGTGTACAATTGGTGTACAACAAGAATTACCCATATTGGTATATCCATGGAGATATAACTTACCGAGCAGCAATTCCGGAGTAAACATCAGCTGGCTTGTCTCCACCAACAAGATTGACAGCTGCTGCTCCTAACTGAGGAGGGACAGAAAAAGTTAGATTTGCATGAGAAATAACTGATAAAAGACCATAGATGACTAAATAATATTGGTGCAAAAAAATATTGCAATATCAAAGGTGAACTGCAAATTTGTGATCGGATTTACATTTTGGTAAAAGAACAAACTCTTATACATGAAACAGTGAAACCTGAAATGAATATTGACCATTTATTAAAAAAGATTAAAGAGAATGAGGATGTAAAAGAAATAGCAAGTAGTTACCTTATCCCTCCCTAGGGCAGCATAATGTTGCAAACCGTTACATGAGCCATCCTTAATATTATAAACAACCAAGTAAGAGCATAAACTGAGAATAAATCCTGTAGGCACAGAACTGCTAGAAAAGAATAACAAAATAGACCATATTTAAAGAGATAGTTCACATCAGATGTTAGAACTCCAAAGTTTCACCACGTAGAAAACTTACCGCATAAAAACATCAAATTCATAAAAAAAAGGTAAAATTTATAGCACTATTTCTATCACTAATAAGGTAAGAACAGCGTCTTTGTCAAACCTTTACTTATGCACCTATTAAATCTAAAAATGAAACTAGTTTTGAATTTAATTTGTCAAAAAAGGGATACAAACAAGTATTACATGACAAATTCAGTTAAAGATCCAAATAAATCTAAAAATGTTAGGATTTATGACTTTACTAGTGCCAAAGGTTTGAAGCATATGTGACAAAACAGCACTCTCCTTTATGAAACAGAGCAACTGTTTTTAACCATGTCATATTGTGTGCATTACATAGTCAAAAACTGCGCAGGAATTGCTAATTTGCTACTAGGTAAGATTTAGTACCTGATGCACAGGCATATGAGAAAGGTAAGTCTCGGGAGATGGGCTTCTAAGAGCCTCAGTAAGATTAATGCATGTTGCTAAGCATTGAAAAGGATCCTCTGCGCCCAACCACCACTGTTTTCCTTCAAGAGGCCGGTCTGCACAATCAAAAATGTCCTCCACGTGGTTTTCAGTAAACGCCACTCGTCCTTCATACGATAACTTATCAATACCACCACCATACACATTTGCTAGGTGTATCTTTAACCAACGCAACCCTGACTTGCCAAGTGGGCGTGCTTCTGCAAATTCCAGGATTCCACGGCACAAATCAGAGCCAAGATGATTCAAATATGGATGCATTGGATATGCACGTCCACGAAAATCGATATTGTGTGGGTAATAAAATCCCTCCTCGTCCCTCAATTTTCGTGCAACCTGATCTTCAACATGAACGATCTTAGAATAACAGTCAACCTAAATACTAACAATGTACAAATATTCAAAAATAAGACCATCGACTTTCAACAAGAATCCTGATTGATCACTAACTCTTCAGGCATCCTTGGGGCCCCTAAACTAACTAAAGAACTCATAAATCATAATGACCCTGAACTTTCAAAAACTAGTCATTATTGACATTGAGCATGTTGTTGACACTTTAGAGTTCAGGGTTATTATTGAGTTACTTTAGTTAGTTTAAGGCTAGACAGGACACTTGAGAAGTTAAGGGTCAATTGAGATTTTTTGAAGAGTTCAGGTCACTTTTGGGTATTTGGCCATTGTTTTTTCAACACATCGAGTTGAAAGAATTGGACTATGACAAGCTCCTTACAGCTAATTTCAATTCAATATCACACCGCTGAGAATGTCTCTCACTGTTTTGTTTTTTCATGTTTCTAACTTTCCACTTCCATTTCTTGATTTCCGCTTCATCTTCGGTGTCTGGCTTTTCTGGTAAAGGAATCTGAAAGAAAAAAAAGTTAGCTACAAAAAGAACAGAAAGGGAAGAAAAAGGGATGGCAGTATGGATCATAATGATATAAAGTAACTATTCTTAGGCTTGCAATTTCTTACATCTTCACGGTCAACTAAATCAGCAAGACCGCCTCCATTTGTCCATATCCTATCAACAACACCAAGTATCCTTTTGTTCACCCTCCACTTGGTGTTACCAAGAGTGTTAAGTGCCTGAATCACAATAGGTGAAGTATATTAGACATGGGAAATGAGGGTGGGTTGTCTTGTTAAGAAATGAAAAGAAAAGATTCAAGCAATGCTATTGTGTTCTAACCAAATAGACCATAAAATATAAAATATTAGCATAGTCCCATCGATCTTGTCATTTATTATTCATAAAATGAACATATCACTATAATTTTTCTAGATAATTAATATGATATCAGATTAAATTTAAGCATGACATTAGAAGGATGGTGTGAGAAAGCAACACAAAATAAAAGTGTCACCATGCAAGATTGTGTGCTAGGTGAAGTTTTAGAAAGGGGAATAGGAATGGGTTTGATAGAAAGTAGGAATGAGGTTCAAACCCCTCATTGGGAGGAGGATGACTCATTGCCCAAGAGTAGAACATGACAGTATGAAACTCATAGTGAAGCACCTACTAAACAAAAACTATTACTATGTTCCCAATTCCCAAACCCTCCTATCAAGCACCCCCTAGGTGACATATTTCAATGCTCCAGACCTGAAAAACTTGTGCTAATTGAGTTCTTGGAACTCTTTTGACGGTGTCACTCTGTTGTTTAGCTCCATGTGTGCGCATAATATACGATGGTAAAAATAAATAAGCGCCTTTATCATACCTGCCAGGAAATAATTTAATCAAATCACATGTCATATAAAAATGTATTTAACTACTAAATCATAGGCCATACATGCATGATGCATGTGTTTACCTTTAGAACTAAAAGACTAAATTGGCAATGCGATGTTATATGCCCATGCAGTATCTCTAAACCATTTAAATAAATTATAAATGTCCAATATCTAACTTTTCCCTATCAATTACACTCCCATTCTCAAATCCTCTTTAATAAAGAAAATCTAGTGTACATAAGGGTATTTAGCCAAAATGGCTGAATCTGCTGAATTTTCTGAATTCAGAAGTGCTTGATAACAACCATTTCAACTGTATATAAGTAGGTCAAAAGTTACTTCTACGCTGAAGTGTACCATTAAACAGAGCCTCAGTCAATTGATTCCCTACGCTGATGTGTACTATCCCAGATGACCCATTAGTAAAGGTCTCCAAATAAACATAGTTTCTCAACAAGATCCATTTCTAAGCCACAAGCAGTCTACCTATACAGGTTTACAAGTTAAAACAGTTATGCACTACATTTAATAAGGTTACAGTGGTAACAGCAAGAGTAATTCATAAAATTATAAGAAGCTTGGCATAAAATGGCCAAACTGCAAATGGACTATAAGATAAGGGTTTGGGCAAAAATATGAGCACATTACTAGCCATTAGACCAGAATATTTTGAATACATTGTTTTTATGCTTTCATTTTGACCGAAAGGGGATGACGGGGCGATAAAAAGACTACAGGCTACACCAACTCCGCGTGATTGCTAACTAAATAAGATGTAAGCATGATTCAGTTGGTTGTGAACTATAGAATATCATACCCTGTCCAATCCTTAGGAGGGATCACCATTGGCATGTAAGGTATCACCATGTGCCTGGCCTGCTCAGAAAGTAAGATTAGAATGAATAAATAACGGTTACTGAATGGTTGAATGTTCAAATAGATAAATTTTTAAAGCTACATAGGTATAATTGATGTCAGTGGTATGAGGTGGTGTCCCAACTCCCAAATAGAGTAGGACAACCACTTCATAAACACAAAAACAAAAACAAAAAAAACAATAGTCACCCTTACAGTTTTCTCAAGCCCTTTGAAAACTAGAGGATCACACTGAATCATCCCATATCTCCTCGAGCCTCCCCTATTACGAGAGGAAAAAAGTCACATTAATATGTTGAAGATTTGGAAATGTTCCTGTGTTCCTTGGACAAAGATCAGCCCTTACGAACAATAAAGTAGGATTTGTTTGGTTTGCTTTTACTACCTCTGCTCCAAAAAAGTGACAAGTTTTAACAAGAGAAGCCAATTTCCATTGAATTTAAAGTGTTTTTAAAGAAGTATTCTAAGAAAGTTAAACATGTTCGATTGGGTTGATAAAAATAAATAAATAAATAAATAAATGTAAAATTATGCAGGGTTGATAACTTCCTAAGTTGCGCTTTTACCAATCATAAAAAATTATTACACCTTGATGACAAATAACCATTTTTTCGGGACAGGGTAGTATTAACTGTAGCTTTTTGTGTATATGTTAATGAGTTGTTTTTTATTCTTTGGAGGTTAGGGGTTGAAGAGGGGAGCATGGGTTTTAGTGTACTTACGGTGCTTCCATAGTTCTGACTGTGTGAACAAATGCAGGCCGAATGTCAGGCACACCATCTGATTCATTCATAGGCACCTGTATATAGGCTGTGTCCATTAATACTTTCATCAAATGGCTGCCGACCTGGAAGTGAATAATTTGAATGAATCACCATCCATGCATAAATAATCTTAAGAACCAAAAGAAAGAGACAAAAATTCAACTCGATGATACTCATATCATATGTCAACTACCAACCTTGACTTGATTTCCCTTTCCCCAAGGCTTTCCATCATCCTGCTGCTTCATTATCATTTTAACCTGTTGCATCTTTTGTTGTTTAATCAAAGTAGTGACTTTTTTTCTCAGTTTCCCGTTTTCCTTCATCTGAGCTTCAGGTAGCTCTTCAGAATCAGGACTTGTTGCACCTTTTTTCTTTGTTTTCTCCAAAAACTTATTTATCCTAACCTGACAAGAAAAGACAAGCATAGCAAATAAACAAGCAAAGCCTTGAGATTCCATCTGTTCTTTAATAAGTTTCCATGAGCTGAATGCTTTTTGTTCAAAAATGATTGCCCATTTAGGTAACAATAAATATGTTATTCTCCTATGTTACCAAATTAGCTATCAATTTACAGCCCATACTTTTTCCCACTGAGTAGTTAATTGAGAACAAGTGGGGTAGTTTGCAAAAACAGAACTACATAAAAAAGTGCTGAAATATTTAGACCGGAAGCTCAAACGGTCTCTAACTAGCAGCTCGAGAAGCAGGGGGGAAAGGTAGATTTGTTTTATGTTTTTGTATTTCAATGTCCTGTGGAAGGGCTAAGTAATGGCATAAGCAAGAAACATTGATCTTTGTATGTCTCTTTTTACGCAAACTTATAACCCGGTGTGGTTATTCCCAAGCTGGCTAAGGCTTTATTTATCCAATTAATATAGTATCATGTTAGTTTCCTCTTCATTTGCAAGAATCCATATTTTACTTTCTTTGGCTGAGAGTCGGTTTTGAGATTCATTTGTTTTAATATTTAAATTATAAATTATCATTTTAAATAGTCACATTCATTTGTAGGTTGAATCCATATTCAAGTATCATAAGCTCTACAAAAAAATACATTTCCTACCATGAATATTTAGTGATAATATATCTCACAATGTACAAAGGTAAAATAATCAATTAAAGTTTGATCATTCATTTTTATGTGTCTGGTGCATTGCATAGGGATGTGTTGACTATATGAATTAACTCTTTAACAAATAGTGAAATATATACTCATACATCAAAGTTTCAATAGTTTGATCTGACGAATAAAACTAATACAAGTAATATATACCACATTACATTTGAAGCTAGTGGTGAATATGGCCCATTTTTGGAGCAATCAGATCACGGTCCCTAAAGGTTTAATTGGAATTCATAAGGTTACGGTATCGCCATATCAGTCCAGATGTACAACCGAACTGATTTTTGATCAGTTCTAAATTGGACTTTGAAGTAAAATTGAGTGGATTGGCCGGTCCTAGGTTCGAAGGAACCGGGCTGGCATAAAGGCTGGGTACTGTTCCCATGTTAGGTGAGAGAACCTACCAACTGTTTTGGTTTTGAATAAATAACCAGATGGTACTGGTCCTGTTCTGACTCAGAAGTGTTAGAACTAACGCAGGTATGTAAATGAACAGAAAGAGGAAATAGAGCTCGAGAACAATTCTCCAACTTCGTTAATGGTGGTAAACCAGTACACGAGTCCCAAAGAGAAGAGACAGAATATCTCTAATCTTCCCAGTCCCAGCTCAACTGTCTAACAGCCTGCCCAACTACTTCACAGACTAGTTATTTATACTATCATAGCTATTAACCGACAGATAGCTAATTACAGAAAGTGCCAGCTGATGTGTAGCAGAAAAATAAAATCAACGGGGTGAACCATTGCCCAGATAATCAACGATAAATAAATATTGTTGCCCAGAGCCAAAAGGCTAAACCAACTTTTATTCCAAGATAATCCGAATGAACCCTGGCGAGGGGTATATATAGCCTTCTACAAGAAACCCTAATCAAGCCCAAATTACTTAAACCCTAATTAAGCCCAATTTAACTTAACTAACCACTCTACTAATAATAGGCCCAACTAAAACATAATGATAAATTTTATAAATAAATAAAACTATAATCCCTAGCCCAGAACCGGCCCACGAAAGTGAGCCCAATCCCGTTCCCGTCCCAGGTTCTTCTTGCTCTCTATCACCAGCTCACTAACTGTTATTCTTATTATTCTTTCCCTTTCTAGAATACTCTCCCAAAGTACTTATCAGCTTTATTATTTACAGAAGCATCTCTAACAGAAGCCGGGATCAGAGATTATGTTGTTCACAGTCCAATGATGCACCGAATAAATGACAAACAGAAGTTTCTTATTCCTGAATAAATGACAATTCATATCGATGATTGTTATGCAATGATCTTTAGTAAGATTAGTGGTGAGTCATTGGAAATTGGAGGTTTCTTTTTACGTCGCCCAAATTTTATGCATGGACAGTCACGTGTAACAATCTCCAAAGCAATGAGTTGACCAGCGTTGAAATTTGTGAAATGCGATAACGATGCATGTTATATAGAAGGGCGCCTATAATAATTTGTAATGTTTAAGTGTTTTATAGTAGTTCTTTTTGTTATTGTTATTTTCATATTGCCCAATGTATAATGCATTTTGTGTGACTATAGCATTTTCAATAAAGCATAAATTATTATGTGGTTGCTGCACTCCTACACACTCGTGAAGAAACTTGTTTGCAAAAAAAGTAGATAACTTCAAATCACTTCATTTCATGGATGTCTACAAAGAAGCCTTGAAAAGGCATTCTAAAACAATTTGAACCATGCTCCAACACAACTGAGGCTCAATAAAGTTATTTGTGCATTTCCAGGTGCTTTTTTTTGTACACTCCTATGTGGCATGTTTCCATTAGAGGGTGAAAAGGTGTCTAGCATTTCATTATCCAATACATCCATGTCACACTATAATGTACCAAAAAATGGTTGCATAGCCTTGGTCATTGAGGCTATGATATCTGCTCCATAGTTTGTACTCACTAATAACTGAGTAAATAGAAAATTAAACATTAGCGTCCCTAAAGATAATATCCTTGGCGTACAGCTATATCCAAGTGCAATTGGCACTTACCTCGTTCTCAATGGCTTCCCCGATATGGCAACTAGCCTGCACGATCGAAGTACTTCCGTGTCCATTACCAACCATCAACAGCCCCATCAACTTGTGCATTGTAATGACTGCCATCATTTCAGCAGGGAGAAGAGAGAAATATGGAGCATGGCCTAATCTGGTCTTCCCTTCTGCACAAGCTTGCTGCTCTGCAGCTATGGCATCCTTCAGAGGCTCAAACCAGCCAAGAAACAAAGACTTCACATAAGGCAGATTTGGAGCAAGACTGTGGTTGCACATATCCGTCAAAAGCTCCTGATACTCCTTAGCTGCCTCTTCCCATGCCTCCGTCTCTATCTTCATTTGTCTCTTCTTCAGCACATTATACTTCCAAACCCCCATTCCCCCAATGGTCTTCGGCTGTTTGTGCTGCTTGCTCGTCATCATCATATCTTTATTACTTACCCTAGCATCCCCAGTTATCTCATGAATCTCTTCAGCATCTTCCTCTGAGGAAGAAACTAAAGCCTCAGCTGCAGTAGCATAGCCCCTGGCAAAGCTGATCCAAAAACAAAAATCGCCGCTGAGCTTTTCACCAGCTCGAGGAAAGATTGAAGCTTGAGTAGAACTGTGATCTTTGTAGGTGGAAATAGTGCGTTCAACATTCCTTCCACCTCTGATCTCCTCAGACAATTGAGGGGATTGATTATTTCCATTAAAAGTGTACAGAGGAAATGAATGGGACTCTGAAATTAATCTATATTTCCTAAGTAAGGAAGATTGCTTTGATAAATTTCTCCACATACTGAAAACGTCAGGTATGGATAATGAACCGGTGACAATGGTGGCGTCACTAGCAGACTCTGAAGCCGCATGCATAAACCCCTCTAAAACCTAATGTGCTCCAAATTTGTACTCCGTATTTTACATGTCAAGTCAGGTGGGCTAAAAACCCGACCCATGGGAGTGATCCATTTATTTAGTCATTACTGTGTTTGGAATTGATTATGGTGCTTCTTTTTTAAAATTGGAAGTATAATTAGAATCAATTTTTTAGAAATTGATCTCATTCACTTTCTAAAAACTACTTCTATGAACATTTTTTAACATTGAGGAGTATTTCTACACTTCAATGTCTTAAAGTTATATGAAGTACTTTCTAAAGGATCACAGACAACCGCCGACCCTCGAACAAGACTTAAAGTTACTCACCTTCGAAAAAGCAATATAACTCGTTGGTCCTTGACTGGGCGCAACTGAGCCAAAGACGGTTAAAGCAGACTTCTCATCACTCAATCCTAATGCATGAGTCTTACAACAATAAAAATAACCTACAGAAAAATAAACAGTTTGATCATGAAAAGTAAATAGCAAGCAAACAGTGAAATTAAAATGATACTTCCAAATCATAGACTCTCATGCAATCCATGGCGGCGGTTCAGGAGGGGGACGATCGAGCAGTACTATAGCTTCTTCCTCACATTGCCTCTTATTCATTATGTTTTCTACCAAGCCACCTCTGCCGCCACCTAACATGGATGACCTCGATTCCAGATATGTTCCAGCCTCTAGCCCCACGTTTTGTCTATGACCTTCTGATCTCATCAATGAGCGACATCCTCGAAACTCTCCACATGCTGCCAGGGGTGCACAACATTTGACCGCCAGAGATCAAGCATCCGTTTTCCGTTCATGCACACCCTTCGACCACCGGAAACAGCTGGGGATCTTGTTCCTAATCATTGCAAGATCTGGCCCCCTGCCTAGACACCTCTCTTCCTTCCGCTTAATCACGGTAAAGCAAAAGAAGAGAAATAGCCGCACAATTGATGGTGGAAGAAGAAACCCTACGTAGAGGGAACACGGCCGCCCTCCAAAGCATAGAAGATAAAATCACCGCCAGGCGTTGAGCGAGATGCGAACAAACTCTAAACGAACCGTCCCAAACCACTAGGGGTGAGCGTGAGACGGTATGGGACGGTTATTTCAAAAAACTTATCCCGTCCCAAAGTACGGTTCTTTTAAAATCAAAGAACCGGTATCGGGACGGTTCTTCGGTACTATTCAATTCCTAAATAGTTAACTCTCACGAAGTCAAAAACATTTTAGGTTTTAGACTTTTTAAGTAACTGTACAAAAATTTAAGAGAATGGATTTCAGGATTGAAAAGTTTATGTTAAACTAATCTTGTGCAATCAAACCTAACTAAAATATAAAACTAATAGTCAAACTATAATAAAATTATAGTTCTGGTCTTCTGGAGGATACAGAGCATCCGAGGTTGCCAACAAAGTAATTAAACTAGGTTTAAGTGTTTTGTATCATATTTATTACTACTATTATTTATAAAATTTAGCACGCTCAATAATTGTATTGGGAGCACAAAGAATGTGCATTATATGATCTATACCAAAGCTTTGAGTGATCACATTGTAGATTATTGGCTAATATAATGAATAATAAAAATATTTATTATTTTGTATAACAATTTTTTCGGGACAATACGAGACGGTTCGGTTCAGCTGAACAAAAATGTCCGCCGGAAAAACATACTAGACTAAACCTAAACCCGTTCATTGTTCCCCCATATTCTGTTGTTTGCGCTTGGTAGGTCCAACAAACCTCCCTTTGAAAATTGAAAAACAAACGTAAAATTTGAAAGATGTAAATATATTAGTGAAAAAACTAGAATTTGCAAATGATCGGGAACAAAACAAAACAAGAACTGCCACAAATTAAAAAAATAAAAACTCTACCTGTATGGTTGTGTATACGTAGATGTCATAAAAAGTTTTAAAAGCACAGAGACAAATACTCCCTCTGTCCCGTTGAAAGGTTCTCAATTTTTTTATTTGGATGTCTTATTTAAAGGTTTTCATTTCATTTTAGGAAATAATTTGCTCTCCTTGCTTATATTTTTACTTTAATTTCTATTTCATACTCATTATATGTCAAGTCTCACAATTTATCATCTCTCAACTTATATTTCTTTAATTAGTTTCACTTTATGTTCACTTTTTATAAATTCCCTCTCACCTCTCTTTTTTATCCAAGTTACTTTATTCAAACACTTGCCTAGAAAATCGTGTCATTTACTCACGGGAACCTTTCAACGGAACGAAGGGATACGGAATAGCAGGGTAGCTAGATGTGAAAATGGGAAATACTAAATTAGAAAAGTATGTGAAGATTGTGAAAAGTAAAATAGAAAGACAGTTGTGGAAGAAAAATCAAATAGAAAGCTAATGTTGCAAAAAAATTGAATTTAACCTAATAATAAAATATAGTGGTATCATATAATGACATATGTACGAAAAGTAAATTTTAATAATTACGCAGTATAAATGATATGAGAATCGAAAAATATTCATTATCAATCTTTTTTATTCTTATTTCAACATTCAAGTACCGGATGACATCACTATTGATCTCCCAAACAGAAGGTCATAGGTTTGATTCTCATCTTAATTCAATTTATGTTCCTCAGATTCTAAATCGATCTTATTTTATTCTCACTTTATCAATTCAATTTTAATTACATAAAATTGATAACCACTACGTTTTTTTATGTAATAACGTTTTTAATATAATCATGATATCTTATTTGAAAAGGATTGATGGAGTATATGGGTCTGAGCCCCAGGACCCACATACTCGGAAGAACAGAGCACAAGACAACAGAGTGGCGCCCTCGTCGGCCAAGACGCCCCCGTCGGCCGAAAAGGGGCCAACTCAGATTACGGTCCTGAGTTTAAGGGACTCGGGTGCCCTCGTCGGCCGCGCCCTCGTCGGCCGTGCCCTCGTCGGTCACGCCCTCGTCGGCCACGAAGACCTCCCAGAATCGGATTATGTACTTACTCATTTGTACAGCCCATTAGAGGCTTTGTATTCGGCCCAGTAGCGGTCCAGTTGTAAATGGGCCTCCCAAGCCCAAGGCTTGGGAGCCCAACCCTAATTTTCTCTATAAATACTCCCCTTGGGAGTAGTTATAGGGGTTACGAAATCATTCTATTGAAGCATATTATTGCACTTCTCTCTCTAGCTCTCACCTCTCTCTAGATATACTCTATCATTTGGTGCTCTCGTTGAGAGCTAGAACAATCAAGTTAGCACCCTTCGTCGCTACCAAGCACAGCTAACCACTGATCATGGGGAGAACTAAGTCAAACCGCAACCTCGTCAGCAAAATCATCCCTTAGGACCAAGAGCCCAGGGAGCACGATGAGGACGCCACGGCCGACCAGGTCGGTGGAGGGGACCTCTTCCAGGAGGCCTTCAACCTCACGACGGACCTCCGCAACCAACTCAACGGCGGAGTCCCCGACGCCCGCCTCGGCCCGGAAAAGAAACGAGCTGAGAAAGCGGACCACGCCTCGGCCCAGCCTATGGCCGCGGCCTCTCCGTTCGTAGATCCTCAGGTCCAGGCCGCACTGTCGGCTATCATCGCCAGCTTGGCTCAGAATCCCACCGTCCTCAGCGCACTCTTGCCAAGGACCGGGGGAAACGTCACTCCACCTCCTCATCCCCAACCACTGGCCGACCAGATAGGCAACAATGAGGGGGTTGTGGCCCAGGACACGGCGTCGTCCCACTCCCACCCTGCTTCCCCTCTTCGGCCCGGGCAGACCCCAGCGCGTGGAAAAGCCTCTGCCTTCAATAGGCTGGGTGACACGCGCCGTCGTCCGGTTTCGGAGAGGATGGCGGGACGGATTGGTGATCCTCGTCCTGGCTCGCCAAGGGAGAGTTTGGGGTCTGTGTCCCGGACAGCGGACCAGCCCCGCCCGGACAAGGGCAAGGGGAAGTTGCACGAGGATGACGTGCGCCACCAGATCAACGCGGCTCACAACGAGCGCCTGAGGAACCAGCCGGGTGCCGCCGTGGCCGACAGGGACCCCCGGGACGAGGTCATCGCCCAGCTGGAAAGGAGGTTGGCTCAGATGGAGGCCAAGCAGTCGGCCAACATCCCTACGGCCGGCGCCTCCAACGACCCCGGCCTCAACGCGCTCATGAACAAAGTCAGCGCCCTGGAGAGGGAGCTGGCCGAAGGGCGGGGTGACCCCATCATCCAGGTCAGGACTAGGACCCCTTTCACCAACAGGGTCCTCTCGGCCCCCATCCCTGAGAAGTACAGGGGGAACGCCATCAAGTCCTACGATGGCCGATCAGACCCCCAGGAGCACTTCAGCCGTTATCAAAACAACATGCTGATGGTGAATGCGTCCGACGAATACCTCTGCCGTTGGTTCCTCTCTACTCTCGAGGGGCCAGCGTACGAGTGGTTCAACGGACTGCCAGAGGGAAGCATTGACTCATGGCAAGATCTCGCCCAGCGCTTCCTCACTCACTTTGCCGGGAGGAAGCGTGCCAAGAAGTATTTCACCCACCTCCTCTCCGTCAAACAGCAGCACGAGGAGTCCCTCCGGTCATTCATAGACCGGTGGACGAGGGAGACCGAGGAGGTCGATGGGGCCGATGAGCGCACCCTCCTCGCCTTGTACCAGGGAGCCCTCCGCAGCTCCCCGTACGCCAGGAGCCTCATCACTGACCCCCCGAGGTCGTACGCCAAGGCGCTCCAACGCGGAGGCTTGTATGCCGACGCCGACGAGCTCCACAATCACAAGAGAGAGGGGAGCCATCCCCCCAAGAAGACAAATCCTTCGCCGGCCTCAGGTCCGTCCCCGGCCGGCCAGGGTGCCCAGGGCCGCCACGGCTCTGGTGGACAAAGTAAGAAAGACCGCCACTGGCGGCCGGGGCTGGAACGGCCGGGGGTAACCCTCACCCACCCGGTCGGCACCATCCTCGATTATGCCGAGAAGCACGGCCTCATCGAGCAGGCTCCTCGGCCGGCCGAGGAGATCCTTGCCATCCAGCAGGGCGGCACATA